ACCCGGAATTACTAATAATTAAATTTCGCGGGTCTGGAGTGTCTGATTGTCAAATTTTTTTTTTTATTGTGTTGGTATACATGCCCCTAAAGTATGATGAAATTTTCAGCTATATTCACTGTTTACTTTGTCTGTGGTAGTCGCTAAGGTTCGACGTGTTTTTCTGAGCTCGGCGATTTTTACAATGGAAGAATTGAAAAGTCAAAGAATTTGTATTAAATTTTGCGTAAAAAATGAAATAAAGTGTTGCAAAGTGCAAAAATTCACCAGATATGGCTCCGTGTGACTTTTTCCTATTCCCAAAGTTGAAGAGACCCATGAAAGGACGGCGGTTTTCCTCGATTGAAGAAAATCGCTGAGAGTGCTCAAGAACATATCAAAAAGTGAATATCAAGGGTGCTTCCAAAATTGGAAAAAACGCTGGCATAAGTGTATTATATCTGGGGGGGACTACTTTGAAGGGGACCACATTAATGTAGACGAATAAATAAATATTTTTTTGAAAAAACGAAAATTCCGGGTACTTTTTGAACAGACCTCGTATATATATATATATATATATATATATATATACATATATATAATTTTTTCATAAAAAATATTTATAAAATCATATTTAAGTCACTTAACTTCACCCCCAAGTTCCGGATTTCAAATAAAAAATATAGTCACTTTACAATATGTCCCAAAATCGGCACCATCTAAGTTTGAGAATCCCTCCACACCCAAAACGTCCAGAGCGCTTGCGCCCTGTTCAACCCGTCTTACATCAATGCCACATTCTTTGCGTAGCTACACAGGCGTTCGGAAACTCCATTGTGTCATTCGCTACTGCGAAAATCGAAATTAGAAAAACAAACTTTTTACCATAAAAGACATTGCAAACAATAACTTTACGAAGTAACCGAATCAACAGTGTTATGTAATAATAATATGTGTGAATTTTCTGATTTATTTAATGTGCGTCTAAGATGCAGATAATATTTAAGTGTATGTGTGATTTTAGTATGTGACACTTCGGTTGCGAAGATTTCATGCTCAGGATTTCGATTGTGATACGGTGGTCTCGCGTGTCATTACAAATATCGATTGATAATTTTATGTTATGGTTATTGTAATACCTAATAACTATGAAACATGTAATATTAATTAGATTTTTAACCAAAGGGCGAAGCTAAATTATATCTAAGCCCAGCTTTGCGGTCTACCTTGCTTAGAATTTGACTCTTACTCAGATTTTATTTATTTGATTATATTTTTTTTTTTATTTATTTATATATATATACCTTATTTTCATATCTCATACAGACAGAGGTGCCTGATATGAGAGATTATAAAAACAGTTTTCAAATTTTCTATATACATTTCACTTGACTATTTTATTGATATAATATCTATTATAATTAAAATATCTTTATATAACTCTTCAGTCTTCTTTGTCTTCAATTTCCTTATAATATTTCTTTATTTTTCTTTTAAATTCATCGTCATCATTGGTCATCTTAATATCGTTTGGCAATTCATTATATATTTTACTAGCGCTCCATATGACATTATTTCAGTAAGCTTTCTCATTCACTTAAAATTTAGACTCTATTATTAATTTTTAAATATGATAAACTTATAAGTTTATTTCTTCATTCTCATTATTAGAACTTCTTTAACGTTTGCTTGAAAAGGTTTTTAAACATAATTTCAAATTATGAATATGAATTTATATAAGTAAAAACTACATCCGATGGCTTGCTTATATTAAATTCTAAATTTTAACATAAATCTTTCAACGGGCCAAGCTTTATAAAATTTAAAACTAAATATTTCAGTGTCCGTTTCACTTCGATTCTTCACGAATTTCTGTATTTTTTATACAAAAACCCCAAAAAATTTAATCATAAATTTTACACTCCTAAAATTGATGTGGTTGAACAAGAGCTTTACAGTAGTTTTGTGAAAATTATACATTTTTTTATATTTAAACTAAATTCTTACTCTGGAATGATGCAAATAATATCCTTGTAATTTAGTTGCATGAATTTTTCATCGGTAATAAAGTCTTTTCATTTATTATTTGCTTTGGTAATAGACGTCTTTAGAGCTTTAAAGTCGTTTTTTTTGGGTTAATGAAACTATAATTTTTTTTATATTTAAACTAAATTCTTACTCTGAAATGGTGCAAATAATATACTTGTGATATTTATTGCAAAAATGTATCATCATTAATATATTTTTTCATTTATTATTTGCTTTGGTAGTAAAAGTCTTTAGAGCTTTAAAGTAGTTTTTTTTTGGTTTAGTGAGAACTATTAATTTTTTTTAATATTTAAACTGAATTCTTACTCTGAAACGGTGCAATGTAATGTAATATTCTTGTAATTTCATTTCCTAAATTTTCCACTAGTAATATATTTTTTTATTATTGTTTGCTTTGGTAAAAAAGCTTTAAAGTCGTTTTTATAGTTTAGTGAAAACTATGGTTTTTGGTTTAGTTAAAACTAAATATTTTTCAATATTTGTACTAAATTCTTACTCTGAAATAATGCAACTATTATTTTTGTGATATTTATTGCATACATTTCATACCAGTAATATATCTTTTTCGTTTTTAGAGAGTTTAATGAGAACTATACAATTTTTTTAATATATAAAGTAAATTCTTACTCTGGTATGGTGCAAATAATATTCCTAAAATTTCATTTCTTAAATTTTCCACCAGTAATATATTTTTTCATTTATTATTTACTTTGGTAGTAAAAGTATTTTTTTGGTTTAGTGAGAACTTCACAACTTTTTTTGTGATATCTAAACTAAATTTTTATTCTGGTATTCTAGTGATATTTCTTGCAAAATTTTCATGAATAGTATATTTTTTCATTTTTTATTTGCTTTGGTACAAGTCTTTAGAACTTCAAAATCTTTTGTTCTTGATTTAGTGAAAACTATACATTTTTTTTATTTTTAAATCAAACTCTTTTTTGATATGGTGCAACTTAATAACCTTGTAATATTCATGGCATAAATTTTACATCTGTAATATATTTTCATTTATTATTTCCCCATGTAATAAAAGATTTCTATAATTCATTTTCCTTATTTTTTGCATTTTACGGTTTTGGCAATACAAGGTAATTTATATTCCTAATTCATTTCTACGTTTAAAGCAATATTAAATCCTATGTTTAAATTTTTTTTAATAAATTTTGCTATTTGATATTTGATTTATTCAAAATTTTTTGATCACTCACTTAGTGAGAGCCTTATATTTTTATTTTAATATTATGAATTAATTATCGTAATAATGAATTAGATATGTATAACAAATTATAGCGTTGTTTTGTTGTGGAATTTTTATTATGCAGTAAAATATATGCAAAAGTTGTCAATAAACGCAAGTATTATTAAATGTATGAATAGATTTAAAAAAAACTATTTTTAATAAACTGCATTATATTGAGAATATCAGTCTATATTTTATTTAGACAATCAAAATTAAACTTCAATTATTTGCACTATTTTAAAGTGAAAAATAGTTTATTTATAAATAAATAAGTATTTCTTTTTCACAATGGAATGAGGGACGATTTTTTACACGTTTTGAAATTTTCCAAATTTAAAAATAATGTAGAAAGTGTCAAAAATTTAATATACTGAAATTCAACATATTCTAATTAAAATTTTATGTATATTTTTCACAGAAGAATCAAAGTTGTGATTTTATTATTAAAACGAAAAAGCAATAAATGTATGCCAAAAATACAGAACATTAAAAAACTATATGTTTATTTAAGTGTTAGTTCAATCAAAAAACAGTTTAAAAATTTGAATTCTATTCTAATGAAGTGATGTGATACTATTTCCAATAAATTAAAAAATATATTTAAAATCCGAGACCATCAATAATGCAAATTTGAATCCTCAATATAAAAAATTGTCCGCGCCAGCTTCCCGAAAAACTGCGTTGTACAAAAAAATATTAAACTAAAAATAAATATATAAATAAAATATCAGTGAGAAGAATACAAATATCATATTCAAATATATAAATGCCAATGGAAACAAAAATTTCATTTACATATTGGGTGTGGAAAACAAGCTTTTGGAAAGTATGACTAAATAAATTGGAAAAAATGAAATCATACGTTTTTCAAAAGTTAGATCCACCTTCTGAAAAATAATAAAAACAAATGGAAATCATCAAAGGTGTATGGATAAATGTATGACATTTTCACTAAATTTTGGATTGAGGCGTAAAAAATGAGGTTGAAATCGTATTCAAGAATAAAATGACGAAGGGCTCACTTTAGGGGCTCTATTCATCCCCCGAATGATTTAAAAAATAACCTGTTAAATTAAAATATATTGATGATATATTTGTAAGTTCATGTTAATCATGAATCGACTACGATGTCTACAGTATATACAAAAATTGAAAATTATTTGAGAAACAAGAAAATTACAATTTTTGAAAATTTATAGAGAAAGTGATACGCCGATTTTGAATTCATGGCAATACGAATATTAATGGCAATAAAACTGACTAATTCAGTGGTCTATTAGTTGATAATTGATTTATCTAAAAATTAATTCAAACTACCATAAATATATTGGCCCAAAGATTAATTTAGGCCTCTGACTAATTAACAATCTATAATTTTCATTAAAAGCTAAAGTTATGAAATGAAACGTCTAAAGATTCTAAAATTTTGAAGTCCACTTTCCTCGAAGCATAATTTTATGCTGCAAACTCTAAATTTAAAAATTATAATAACCTACTAATATGCAAATAAATACATTAACCAAACAGTATTTAATTAAATTAATACTAAATACAAATATAAATCAAAATCTCTTCATTAACGATTTGAGTAATCGAATTTAAAACCAGCTTCTGAAATTTAATATGATTACATTAAGATAAAAATTGTACTGTGAAAGCAGAATATATTATATATTATTAATATATAATATATAAAAATACGCCTTCATTAAACTAATAATATAAAATGCCAGGAGGTAGAAGGGGCTTAGTTGCTCCTCAAAATACGTTTCTGGAAAACATCATCAGGAGATCCAATTCGCAACGTAAGTTTTTTTTTGATATTCTTATTTATTTAGAATTTATGTAACGAAATGTATATTATTGTATTAACATGGAAAAATTCGACAATGTTTATTTCCTTATTAAACTTTATTATATATATGAAATAATATTAGGGCGGGCCAAATTATATGCGGTATATATATTGCAAGTCAATGTAACAAACCTGAATTTGGATGGCCAATGAGTTTGTCACACCCTGATATGCTATAAAAATCTATTAAAAAATTATGTTTATTATATTATATTTTTATTAAATCATTCTCTATTATTAATCGGAACGATTGTACTTTAAATACAAAAAGAAATTTGAAGAAATATTCACTAGTTTTTTTTATAGCATTTTCATACGCAAAAGTTATTTGGCGGACCTACACACACACACACACACACACACACACATATATATATATATATATATATATATATTAGGGTGGTCCTTAAAATGGTCATTTTCGAATTTCCTTGCTCCAAGGGGCTGAAATGGTTCCAAATCGATAAAAAACAATTCTCTGAAAGTTTCAGCTCTTAATATTAACGTTTGGATAAAGCACAATTCAATCAAACTTTGTATGGAAAGAGCATGGAAAAAAATTTGAAATTTTTTACCATTTTAAGGACCACCCTAATATATATATATATGCGCACGCCAACTGAAAGTTTCTTATATTTGTTATTAACATACGTCATTAAGTAAATTCCTGCGCCATCTGTGGCACATAACGTGAACTCAAATATTATGACACAAAAGAATATAATTATATATATATATATATATATATATATATATATATATATATATATATTTGTAACAATACTATATGTAGCCACAATTTCTTCCTGTGAGCAAATTGATTCTTCTAACTTTCTGGACCATATCAATCGTTTCCTTGATGTTGTGCACAAGTTTGTCGATAGTCTTATAGTTTTAGTACATGTCTTTATTGGTAGGGATGTTTTAGTAAATGACCCTATTATCAATCTAGGCTGAAGGGAAATAAAAATTGAAATATCAACATACAATTTAGACATTCAAGTCGAAAATATAAATTTATATTCTATCCCTCACTGAAAATTTAGTTTTCATCTTGCGCTTTGTAATTGCGAACCCCTGGATCAAATCAGCTTTACAAGAAGTTAATATCAAGCAGAGTGATATATATTATTCACTTACTCGTTTCAAGTGAAAATGGTCCTTTCTGGCATCACCACAATAAATTAAAATATATAATCACTAATAGTATTTATACACACTTAGTTTACACACTTTCAAAGACACATAATTTATTTTTTCTCTATATATTAAATATAAAAAATGGCTTAAGGGGGGCGATACATGTAATCGCCTTAATTTTTACCATTTTTTGAGGACTTTTTAAACTGGGAAGGAATGATTGAATTTTTTCGAACTTTTTTAGGGTTATTTATTATATATTAAAATACACAAAAAAATTTTTTTTTAATTTTTTTTTTAAATGGCTGCCGTAAAAATAAATCTGCCAAGACCCTCTCGGAAAACGCCATCAATTTGCGGGCGTTCTCACTTTTCGTACGGTGATCTGAATTTAAAAAAATTAGTTTGTACGTGTTCATGAAACATATATCTTCTAGTTAAACCAAAAAAAAATTGAACTAGCTGTAAGTGGAATTCTGTCTTAAGGCAATTAAGGCATCGTGCCTTAAGGCAAATTGCTGGATCTTCCCGTACCAAAAATTATTATTTTTTTAAAAACGATTGACATTTTTTAAAAAAAATTACTTCGAAAAAATACGATTTTTAAGAAACTATAAATTGGACAAAAAATTACTTTTTTTTGAAAAAAAATTTTTTTTTAAAAAAATTTTTTTTTAATTTTTTTTTTGTTTTTTTTTTTGAAAAAAAAATTTTTTTTATTTTGACATATTGTGGAAGATCTGAACTTTCTTTTCAAAGCAATCGTACTGCTTTAACTGCATAGGGGCAAAATATAAAGCGCGTAAGCGCCACGTCGCTGTCTAACGCATAAGCATTGGTACGGAACCCATAGGAATGTTAACAAAATGTATACTTATTGTTAAAATCTCTATAAAATATCTGATAATTTGATGAGCATATGTCTAATGACCATTTTTGACCGCCAAATGGCTTATTTTTTTACTTTTTCCTCCATATCTCCGAAACCGCTAGAGCTACCTTCATGAAAATTTTATCGATTCTTAACCTTGTCAATACAAGTGAAATGTTTTTTGAATTATTCAAATCGGACGCTCCGTTCTCTCAAAAACTGAGTTACCGTTTTCGGCACTTTTTGCCCCGTATCTTCGAAACGGCTAGACCTGCCTTCGCCAAAAACTAATCAGCACGTCTCCTTATCAATACGAATCGAATGTTTTTTGAATTATTCAAATCGGTTGACCCGTGTTACCGAAATCGTCGACGAAAATTTGTATCCGCACATACATACACACACATACATACATACACACACACACACACACACACATACACACACACACACCCCACACACACATACATCCATTTTTTCTAAGGTATGCCAAAATGTTCAGAAACCTCTGAAACGTAAAGATATATAAAATTTTCATTTTCGATTTTTTTGCGATTAATATAACTTACCCTACGGGAAGTTAAAAAGTCACAAAATCGTAAATTGGCACACCTTAGAAAAAAAAAGTTTGATTTTTCACCTTTTTTTCAATGGTTTTTTTTGGTAAAAGGGTTAATTTTTGAAAAAAATTTTGGAATGTTTGAGGTTTAACTAGAAGCTATTACTGTAAAGTAAATGTGTGCAAAATTTCATTGGAATCGGTTGAGAACTTTTTGAGTTATCCCGCCCGCAAATTTCAAAAATGTCGTTTTGAGAAAAACGCGTTTAAAATTTTGACACAGAAACAGATAAGAGTACAATAGCACTCGAGCGCCGAGTTGAGGAGTGGCACTTAAATGAGTTTTTATTGTATAAATAATGATAATTTTGTTTTGAATATTTACAGGCATATTTTTGAGATGTTATTGTAACGATTTATGAAAGAAAAAAAAATCGATTTTTTTTTTCTTGTTACATGTATCGCCCCCCTTAAATATTGCCTTCATCTGAGCCATATACGCTTTACCATCACCAATGATAACAGATATATCATTTTTATCAGCAATGTATTAAAAATAATATTTTTAATATAATTTACGTTTCTCAATTCTTACATTCTCTAAATATTTTTATATACGTCATTGATAAAATTAAATTTTCCACCATACTGCCCTCACTATAGAAAACCTGATGGTGGGACGCAATATCCGGAATATTGAAAATAAATTGCACATTCAAAAAGTTTTTTATTTTTCAATTGGATTCACTGAAAATAACACAATTCAATGAAAAATCCTGAATTCATCAATCAAATTTATATATTTATACATACATGCATATTGCAACATTTTCAAATACAACTTTTGAGTTTAGTTTCTTGCAATTGGAAGCAAAAGCTCATATTTAATTTTACATAGTGGGAAACGCTAGCTTTTTTATTCAAATTCAACAATAATACATAAAACATACAATCAACATTACATTTCCATTATATTTCTAATTTTTGGCCATTGGTTTCTCAGAGCGGCCGAAATTCAGGCGAGCTCTTGAGGTTGTCGCCGCTCCTTTGATTTGACATTTACTATTATTAATTAGTACTTTGGGCTCGAGTTCATTGCCGACGAGGTGAAATTTTAGATAATTAATTATAAAGTTAACTGATCACAGATTTCGATCTTTAGGGTTTCAAAGGGCTTGTGGAAAGTGTGTAGTGGGCATAAAATTTGCTGAGAGGTAGTACTTGCTCGTCTGAGGTTTTGTTTATAAGGAATAGTAATATTTCTGATGACATTATGCACATTCACTGCTGGAAAACATAGTACCTAGAGAACTATTTTATTAGTATTTTGTTTGTATGATAGAAGATTATATTGCAATTCGTTTCATGTAGATGTAATCAAATTTGATACATGCGCTGTGGTCAACTAAACAATTTATTTTGTGTTTTGTGTTTCTAAATTAACATCAATTGATGATATAGGTACTTTATAGATCAATAGAAACAATATATACAATTTTATGTTCTAGCACTATAAAATGACACTAGATCTGAAATTTCAAAATTTTCAATATAATTCTGTTAAAGATAAGATAAAAATAAAAGTTCTTTAAGATCTTGAAGACTATCGAGTTAGAAAAATAACATATAGGGTAATAAAACGAAATGAATCATTATTCTTATTAGTTAGAAAATTAGTTTTATGTTTATACGAAAAGAATTATATTGATTGAAAATAAATAGTTTTCTGCTCGAAGACAGGTCCATCATAGTTAGAAAGCACCACAAAATAAATGATTCCCTTCCCCATCCTTGTGTATTATTGCAATGTATAAAACTATTTCACACCCTTTATTCACGTTTTTATAATCTTTAATGCAATTTTCTTCAAAAAACCTTCTGCTTCCATGCGTCCTGGTCCTGTGCCTCAGCTTTCAGTTCCCTGTATTTTCTCTTCTCGTAAATCATCAACCATCTGCATTCTTTTTCTTCCCAGACCTTTCAATCCTTCTACTTTACATTCTACGACGTCGTATAGGAGGCACTTTCTTTGTCGAATGGGTCCAATCTAGTTTCCTTTTCCTCTTCTTAACACTTTTTCGATTGTTATTTATCGGTCTACTTTATTTACTCTATTCGTCTTCAGCACTACATTTCCAACCTCTTCGAAAATTTGTTGTCTGCCTTTCTTGGAGTCCAAGTCTTTTGTCTCTTTTTCAACTTTACTTTTTTTATTGAAGACGCTGGACCTGCCTTTACATTTTACCAGTTGTTCATTTCGTCAATACAAGTAAAATATTTTTTGAATCTCAAGAACTGAAACACCATTTTTGGCACTTTTTGCCCCGTATCTCCGAAACGGCTAGACCTGCCTTTGCCAAAAACTAATCCGCACGTCTCT